CCTCATTATTTGGTTTATAAGTATGTTAGTATTATGCCCTTGTGTGCTTGATAAAACTATTTTAAAAAATCAGAACAAATCTAATTTCATTTGTACCCTAGGACTAATTTGTCAGATGATACAAATCACATATGGCATATGCATGTTTAAATATTGCTTATAAATCAACAGAGAGAGTTTTATTTGTGTATTTTTATATGAACTGATGACTTAAATTTTCAACACTCAACTCTCATCCAGACACAGTAAGTTCTGTTTTACACCCTGTCTCCAGTCTAGTTGTATTTAGTGTCATCATTAATGTTTTATTATTGATAATACATTGTGCAGACAGTTTTTTTTTTTTTTTTTAGGATATGTCTATTTTTTCCTTTTGAAAGGGGATGTCCATTAGACTAGCTGGTAGGTCAGTTTATCAATTGCCCATACTTAGTTATTTGGAAAGCTACCTATCAGTATGTACAAGATTTTTTTGTTCTTTTTTACCTCATTCTTTTTTTTTTTAATCTTTCCAAATGACTATTGAATATGTAATCAATGTAGGCAATGTATATAATAGGAATGTTAGCTTACTTTGCTTTACCGTATCAGATTTTTAGCAGGTAGTCCTTGGAAATATTTCTAATAAGATGTAAATACTAGACTTTGCTAGTTTTTTTTTTTTTCAGCCATCCCCTTCTGTAAAGTTACCATGAAGGAGTAATAGATTATTTTTTTCCTCTTTCTGAAAAATACAGTGTTATCCGTAGAACTTGGTCTTGTCTGTGGCCATCATCAAACCCCTCCATAATCAACAAAGAATTCTCCCCCCTTTTCCTTTTTTTATTTTTATACCTTTATTTATTTAATTATTTATTTTTTGTACCACTTAGGCACGATACTTAGTTATACCGGTTCAATTTTTCCAGGCTGCAAAGGGGATAAGGAAGTTGCTGTTTGCCCTAATAGTGTCGCTACCGGCACTGTTCAATATCGGTGCATTGCTATTTCTCATCACCTTCATCTACGCAATCATCGGAATGGCGGTGTTTGGTCACGTGCAGCGGAAGGGTGCTTTAGATGATCTGGTCAACTTTGAGACTTTCGGCAGCAGTATGATGCTTCTCTTCAGGTAAGCCAGGCACATCTTTTGGCTCAGTATCTGGTGGTTTCTATATGGGACTTGCATAAGCATGGGATTTCCTATCTTTTAATAATGATAATAATGATGATGATGATAATGACAATGATAATGATAATAGTAATAGTAATAGTAATAATAATAATGATGATAATAACAATGATGATAATGGTAAAAATGATGATATTAACTTGGATGATAACAAAATTACTTGATATTTATGATAATCTTTCATCAGTTCAATTGACAGTTGTGACAGTTATTGAAAAAGTATGAGCAAGTTCACAGCTCAAGACAAGTTATAAGCATTTTCATACTACAGTGTTCATTCTCAACATGTTTCTGATAAAGGCCATAAACATCAGTAACCCAATATTTATTGTAAAAGGATTTTTTTTTTTTTTTTTTTTTTTTTTTTTTTTTTTCAAATTTTAACAAATACAAAAAGCAATTTAATCTCCCCTCATCTGGTTGAGACAGAGAGAGAAGAAAGTAAATAACTGAAACTTTTTTTTTTTTTTCTTTTTTTTCCTTCCAGACTGATCACTTCTGCTGGCTGGAATGACGTCCTGGACCCTCTCATGGCTCAACCTCCGGACTGCGACGTCACTTATATGAACCAGCCCAATGGCAACTGTGGCCACCCTGTGATCGCCATTGTCTTCTTTGTGTCGTTCATCATCATCAATTTTATGATTGTGATTAACATGTACATTGCTGTTATTTTGGAAAACTTTAACCAAGCACATAAGGAGGAGGAGATTGGCATTGTGGAAGATGACTTGGAGATGTTTTATGTTAGATGGTCCAAGTGAGTAGACAGGATTGTTTTTGGCAAGTTTTTTACAGACATTGATGAGTCATTAGTCCTGTTGAATACATTTTATGCAAAGACAGTTGTTCCTTTCATATATAAACACACCACTGTATAGTACAGAAAGTAGTCTCTATAATATTTTTATCCCTTTCAACAGGTATGACCCACATGCTACACAGTTCATCAATTTTTCACAACTCTCCGACTTCATCTCCAGCCTTGATGCTCCGTTTGGCATCCCTAAGCCAAACACTGTTGCCCTTGTGTCCTTTGACCTGCCTATAGCCAAAGGGGACAAAATCCACTGCCTGGACATCCTCCACGCCCTCACCAAGCATGTGCTGGGGCATGTAGAGGAGACTGAGGAGTTCAAGAGAGTGAGTGTCTTCTGCTTCTTCTAGGAATAGAGTGAGAGATTAGGGTCCAAAGCTGAACGAATTCTGTTGTGGGAAATTTCTTGTGATCTGTTTTAGACACATTTGTGTATTGATGGATGTGATGTGATGTGACATGTTTTGTTGTGTGTGTGCAGATCCACAATCATTGACATCTATTACTATAGTATTGATGTTTTTTTGTAATATACAAGAGTTACTGTCTACTAGTATGCCAGGGGCGTGGTGGTCCACCATATACTATCAGTTGTCACTGGTGGGCCTCCTGCCCTCTCAGTTAGGGGCTTGATTATTATTGACTTTCTCTTGTTACCGTACAGTAACCAAACAGTAGTTTGTTTTTAACTCTGTGAGTTTAGTTACCCTGTAGCCGTAGTTAAATTCCTGATATATATCTGCAACTACACATAATGAAGTCTTTTTTGGGGCATAAGAGAAATACCCATTTCCTTTTTCATAAAAGTTTCTCTTCCTCTTTGTCCCTTGGCTAAATCCTCATTGTTTGATGCCCTCAACCACGCCCCTGTTGATGTGAATGAGTAATTTGAGGGAATGTGTTATTGTATAGTACAGTTTATGCATTTGCATCAAGTTATTTATACATTTTTTTCATTACATCATTTTAGGAAAAGTTGAACTGTGTACAGTTGGTGGTGTTGTGTGGTAGGAGTCAGATGTGTTTAATGAGTGAGCAGTATAGAGATTCTAGAAGGAGAAATGTCAGCATCTTCAGAAATAATGCACAGTTTACTGCAGTTATTTTAATACGTAAAGTAAAAACTAATCAAATTATTCATTTAAGAGATTAAAAGACTCATAGTAATCTCTTTCTAGTAATCTCTTACTGGTTCTACTCAACAAGAGTGGCTGATACTGAGTTAGATGTCATTTTTGTCGTGATTAAACATTATGATGTACATTTAATGGTTTCTTATGATGTGCATATAGATACAGCTACACTTTCATCTTCTTTGCTTATTTCCTTTACTGTCCTTCTGGATGAGCGTTTCCTGCCTCATTACACAGCGCTCTCCTGAGCTCATATTTACCCATTCTTGGCTTTCCCTTTCCCTCGTCATGGTAGCTTCTGTGGTTTGTTTTTCAACTTGATTCACGGAAAAATGGAGACGCAGTTCTTGATACAAGTCCTCTTTCGACAGTTTAAGTTGGCGAGAGGGGATTTTCTAACAAGAAAATTTATTTTTTATTTTTTATTTCTTTTTTTCATATTTTTTTCTTGGTCTTCTTCTTTTCTGTAAATTTAGCTGCTAATACAGGCCACAGAGTTCTTGTGCCCCAGCTTATACTTCAACCTCCCCCAAGCCCTTTGCTTCTTTTACGATTTCTTGCATCATCCGGAATGTGGCTGCTGGAAAATCACATTGAGGATGTTTTATATTATCTTTGATGATGGATGATTGTTGCAACTCTTTAGTGGGTTTGAAAAAAGTTTTCTTTTTTTGAGTATTTAAAATTGGCCTCTCTTACTAGTTCTTTTCTCTGTGTTATTTTCATATGATTGATAGAGTTAAGCATAGTATCAGAGCCTCAGCCAGATTCCAAAAATAGAGTACCAGAATTTTTTCTTTTCTTTTTTTCTTATTAAATCATTTTGACGTCTTTATAAGCCTATAATTTTTTTTCAAACTCCACCATTAATATTTATTGCTGAATTTTTCATGCCTGATTGATTTCTCAAGCCTCATTTGCCGCAATAGTTCAGTGCTATGACTTCATAAGAAAAGAAGGAAACAAAGAATCAAACAAGACCATTTTCTTTTTAAGCAAATGACGTACATAAATTTTGAAAGTATAAAGTACGATTTTGTGCTATAATACTCCTTTCATCCTCTACCTTTTGTAAATTCTCCCATCCCCCTTTTTAATACATGAAGATAACAGTGGATTTATTCATGGTTATTAAAGTTCCAAAGACAATTGGATATATTACAGATTGTCTCCAATACAGGTTTGTGACAAGTATACTTAAATGCAACCTTTTAAATATTAAAAGCAACACTGCAGGCTTAAACCCAAACCAAACCCCCCATACCCAATGTTATATATATAGTTAATGTTGTAAGATGTATATATATTTGATTATATAATATATATATAGGTATATGTATATGTTTTTATGTATATGTATACTATATATGTGTTATATATATATGGCTTTTGTGCAATGCATATGGCACCTGTAGTATATGTACACACCATGCTATACATACACACGGCTTATCAGTGTGCTTTTTTTCCATGTGGGCGCGTTTGCATCCTGCGTATAAGTAGAGCAAATGGATACAAGCCTTTAGGAGACAGGCTAGACCAAGAACAGCATGTAGTGCTTTGTTATTTACACACAAAACATATGGCATTGTAGACCCACAATGAGGGAGAGTGTCTGACTTGATGTGCTATAGCTTGTTGTGTGCTGTTGGTTGTTCTCACAGTTGTTGTTAATGTTCTTACTGTTGTTGTTTGTTGTTGTTGTTGTGGTTGTTGTTGTTGTTGTTGTTGTTGATGTTGTGGTATGATTGTTGGATGTAGCTGATATACCGAAAGAGAAAGTTGTCAAGGCAGAATGTTGCTGATGGAAGACACAAAGCACATTCTTTTAGTCTTATCAGGAATCATGGCAAGAATATTTTGTTGCTATACAACTAAATCATTATTGTTGCTTTCCCAAGGTTTGACCAAGCATATATTAATAAATGATTCTCTTTTTCCTTGCTCTCTTTCCTTTGCCTGCACGAGGAAAATGTTTATGATTGCATATATGTTATGGAAACTGCCCCTGATGCATATATGCCATGAATGGTTTGTTCAAAACAAAATGAGAATCCTGTAATATTGTCTCTTACATTTTTGTTCAACTATATCTGCATTTGGTTCTCTAATGTCATTCCTTGGGAAAATAAAATAATAGTGCTCACCGAGAGACTGGATATTAACTACTAGCAGATAAAGCTGGAAAATGTTATTATATTACTTCTGTCAAACTAAGAAGTGAGATTGTGCCTGACACTTACACTGCTGAGTACCACAAACAGTAGAAATGTTCACAGCATGTAAGGCAAAATCTTTCAGAGTTCATATTCTGGAAATAAAAGGGTACAACTTGTATATTTGAGTTGAATGAATCACATTTGCCTAGCCTCCAGTCCTCGATTTGCCTTTGAGAACATTCGCGTGTCCTGTTATGTCCTTGATTCCTCCGTATGTGCGTGTGGAAGCGTCCGCGCCCCCCCACCCTTTACTCTCACCTGCACAGCCGCCTGCAGTGTCTGCACTCTGCACCTTCGGGCGAGCCTTACCACCGACTAACGCTCACAGTTCCCTAGTTCCCCCCTCAGCTCAAGATGCAGATGGAAGAGAAGTTCAAGAAGCAGTTCCCAACTCGCAAGGAGCTTGAGATCGTATCCTCCACGCGTCGCTGGAAGAAGATGGACTCAGCTGCCAAGACCATCCAGATGGCCTGGCGGGCCTTCCTCAAGTAAGTTCTTGATGGGTTTTTGAGCCTCAGTATTTCTTTTACCAGAGATGGTCTTTAGGTATGGCCACTCATGAATCTGCTGAAGCAAAATAGGGTGAAAGAGTTATATATATGGGCAGTTTAATTCATTTAAAAGCTATGTGTGGTATTTCCGTTCTTCTTCTTCATCTTCTTCTTTTCTTCCTGTAATCCTTCTTTCTTGATGAATTATTAATATATCTGTGAAAAAAGTATCATTCAGTTACAGAATTACTGAAATCTGTAACCCAAATCTTAGGAATTGTGTTTGTTTTTATCTTCAATTTCCAATGTCATATATTTGTGTTACAAAGGTTCTTTGGCAGACATGATTAATATTTACCTAATAACATGCAATAAATTTTGTGCTGAAAAAATTACAAAGCATGGAAAAGTCATTAAAAAAAACAAGAAATTAAAAAAAAACATAACAGAGATGAACAGAGAGAACATTTAAAAAAAGAGAGAAAAAAAAATGTATAAGAAGTTATTTCAGCCAATCAAACCATTCTTGACAGTGTGATAGGAAAAAAAGAATACATGATGTGGAAGAAACATGGCAAGGAGATACTAAAGAATCTGGGATGGGATGGCTGAGGATTAGGTTAAATTGCAGAAGAGATTGAAGGAGAAAATATGAGAGGAAGTAAAAAGAAAAAGTAGAAGGACAAATGAGTTGAGAAAGGGAAATACAAGAAAATAAGTTGTCATTTAGCATGAAAGAAATGGGAAAGGAGTTAGTTAAAGGAAAATATATTTTTGTAAAATAAAACTTACGGCTTAATGATAGAAAAATCAGATAACAGCAAGTTAAAATGTAAAAATCTGCAAAAGAAGAAAAAAGGTGAATTTTGAACAGAACAGTGATATGAATGAGAATAAAGTGACATTAATAAACAAGAAAAAATATCAAATGCAAAAGGATTTCATTGTTAAAAGAGAATTATATAAAACTATATTAAGAAAATGTACAATTTAATGATAAAAAACTAAATAACAAATGTTAATAACAGTATTTATAATTCAGTCCTTAGCCAATAGATACATAATACATATGGTATGATGTATTATTTACAACCTTTGGCAAGGGTATTATTTCAAAGACTGTTTTAACCACATTTTTAAATTGAGAAGCTTCACTAATAATGCTAATAAAGATGAAATTTAACATATACTTATCAAAATTAACCTTCCCATGTTCTTATGTTTAATTGGTTCTTATACCTTCTGTTTCAGCTAAAGATAATATTCCAGCAAAAAAAAAATTATTATTAGTTTTTTTTTATTATTATTTACATATATATATATATATATATATATATATATATATATATATATATATATATATATATATATATATATATAATATAATATATATATAATATATATATAATATATATATATATATATATATATATATTATATATATATAATATATATATATATATATATATATATATATATATATATATATATATATATATATATATATATATATATATATATATATATATATATATATATATATATATATATATATGTATGTATGTATGTATGTATGTATGTATATTTTGGTTTGAATGCCAGAACAAAGCTGGTTGTGAAATCAGCAGCTTCAAAAAGTGCAAAAGCATTAAGAAAATCAAGTAAAAAAAATCCATTTACATTCACTTCATGTGAATGTTTTTAATGTAAGGTCATATAGATTCATTTAGGAGGATTAATAAGATTTTCATTTTTCTAAAACTTGGATTGAATTATTTTCTTAAAGGTTACTGAAAATGCTAATATTACATATCAAATCTCATTTCAACTCACATTTTTAAAATTATAAGTTTAAACCAAAAGGAGTTCATAAATAACTAGATTAAGTCCACAAACATTACAAGCTAGAGTATAAAACACAGTTTCTAAAGAATTATTGAAAAGACTAATTAAAAAGAAAGAAGAAAGGGAATCCTCCTGTGAACCTGTCTGTCAGCTGCACGCCATGACCTTACAGAGCAAAAAGAGCGAGACTAGAAGCGACAGGAAACCCTTCTCAGGGAAAGACCAAGGAGGGGAACGAGATGCAGCTCCAGAGCCTGGAATAACTCTGCCTTCCCCACAGTAGCGTAAATTTGTGAATGTTGACTACTTGCTGTTTTTTGGCCACTGTACCGTATCCATATATATTTTTTGGCAGCTCATGATTAAGTTTCTCCTGGGCTCCAATTAGAGGCTGATGATGGGGTGTCAGATGATGGTCATAGAGTCATTACTTCTTTTCTATATAATTTGTTGTGGCTTTGGGGTATAATGAGATCTAAGTAGAGCACATCTGACTCCTCTAAATGGACCCAATCAATTTAAATCACAGGCTGAAAATTAGCCATAACACTAATGTCTGTTCTGATGCTTTAGATTATAAACAATAACAATTATTTGACTTTTTTTTCCTATAGTAACACACAAATATAGGACTTTGTGCAAGCTAAGCTAATGATCATATTTCATTGTAGACTTCCACAACCCTTTTATGAAATAAATGATAGCTAAATAAACCCCCAAAAATACATTGCATAAAAATCTAATCCTATGTGATATACTTCTCAATAGCTTTTGTGATTTTGTTAAAACAAAATATTTATTTGCATAATCTACTTAGTATTTACCAAAAAAAAAAAAACTCTCCCTCAAAGTGCATGATATAAGAATATAGTATGGTTTTTAAACAAGGAGAACTGTTCTGGTTATAAAACAGAAAATTTCTGCCTAGATCAGGAAGCTCCTAGGTATGCTGTTATCCCATTCTTAAACATATTTGCCAAGAGTGAATTCTTGAGGTGACAACTTGTGCTTCAGCTTCAGCTTCCTTGTTTCTGCAGTTGAATAGGCAGACAACCCTTTAAACTACTATATAGTAGTAGAATTACATTGGGGAAGTTATTTTGTACTAATATGATACATCCAGTAACCTAACTCACCAATAACAGAAGAATGAAATGCTTAGGTCATTCTTAGTTCTTTTGAAGCATATGAGTAGTTGGTGTACTTTGTTGATATTCTAACACTAACAGGTGTTTTCAGATAGTCTATAGAAACACTGCACTTTCAAGTGAACCACGAGATATCTGAATGTTGTACTTTTGTGTATGCAACAAACGAGTCAAAGAAATAAGTTCATGTTTTGTATAGCACACACTTCACAATCACATTTTCGGTTACTGTGATAGTGTTATTACTCAGAATGAGTTGATTTACTTCTCCCCATATTGTATGAATTTCAGTGTGCATATAGAAAAAAATTATGGAATATAAGATCATGCTTATCAAACACGCAATTGTAACGATGAAAGCCTACAACTTGGCAACAAGTAACCCCTGCTTTCTTCACAGGCATCGGCGAGAGTTGGAAAAGAAGAATTTACTCCTAGAGGAGGCACAAACACAAACTTCCTCTCCGGGAGGGTCGTCTATACGCTCTGGTTTCAAGAGGGTATCAACCCTATTAGCGGCGGTACCAATGCCCATGAGTATGCCTCGCCGAAGGTCTGTCACCGTCCTCCAGGTAAGATTCTCTCTCTCTCTCTCTCTCTCTCTCTCTCTCTCTCTCTCTCTCTCTCTCTCTCTCTCTCTCTCTCTCTCTCTCTCTCTCTCTCTCTCTCTCTCTTTCTCTCTTTCTCTCTCTCTCTCTTTCTCTTTTTCTCTCTCTCTTTCTCTCTTCTCTCTCTCTCTCTCTCTCTCTCTCCTCTCTCTCTCTCTCTCTCTCTCTCTCTCTCTCTCTCTCTCTCTCTCTCTCTCTCTCTCTCTCTCTCTTTGTGATCTGGTATTATTATTGCATCATGAGAGTTTTCTCAAGAAATCAACACAAAGAAGTAAAGAAAGATCTCAATGTTCATACTCCTCCCTAAAATCACTCTTAGAAGACTAAGTGTCCACAGGTGGATGGAGAAAGATCTAGGCCTAGCTCACGCCGTGCTTCCCGCTCTTCTGTGAACGATACGTCTCCCCGTGGGTCTCTCTTCTTCTTCCCCATCTCACGCCGCGCCTCCAGAGCCTCCACTTCCGCCAACTCTCAGGAGCATCATATCCATCACTCGTGTCTGTGCAGATACACCGTGTTGCTGATCGGGAGTCTCCCCACGCCACCCAAGGGTCCACAGAAGCCCTGAACACAGAGGCCAGCTGACGCAAGCCTTCTTCGGGCCCACCTTGATGCCCTCCCTCACTGTAACCGGTGCCCACCCTCCCCAGCTGTAAGCTAACAGCTTCTGAATGAGTGCTGTTGGTACTGATGGTTGATAGCCTTCAGTTGAAAGCTGATGGCCAACAGTTGCTTAGGTTCTGCTCGTCTCACCTGAGCGAGTCTGACCCACATGCTGCCCGGTCACTCCTGCCTGGCTGGCCTTAGCCCAGTCTATTCCTCAAAGCCCAACTGTGAGGCTTTATGCGCTACGAGTACCCAAAGGAGAAGAGAAGGAGCACTTTGGTTGCTCTGACTGTTACAGCTTAGTATTTCCATACGTTCCTGGAGTCTTTGTCATGTTTATCATTGGCACTTGTCCCAATTAGATATGAATTTTTTTAAGACCAGTTTAATGGTGTATAACTGCAAAGATAACAAGGATTTTTTATTGATATTATTGCTAGTTTACAATGACATGTGCCATTGTTGTTGTATATAAGAAGTATTTTCACCTGTGGATTATTTCATTTCCTGTTATAAATAACATCATATGCAATTGCTTTTTTCTCTTGCAAATACCATAGGCTCACTATAATGTGCATATACAACAATAGGTTTTCATATAGGAAACTAAATAAAGTTCTATAGATTTCATGATGGTCTTGAAAAAGAGGACAATGTAAGTCTACATATATAATATAATCTCTCAGTGTAGTTCAAGTTAGATATTTTGTTTTTGTTACTGTAAAACAAAATTCCCCTGTTATAGCTGCATCTCTTTTTCAAGGTCTTAAGGTCACATAATCAATATTTTTATGGCATTATAGCCTATCGTTATCCCTGCACATGAGCATGGAACCATCGCGAAACGATATGCAAGTAGAGTTATTTGCCAGTTTGTTAGCTTTGCTGTAGGGTGCCAAAGATTTTGTTCAAGCATTAGACTAAAGAGAAAAAAAAAATAAAATAAAAAAAACAAACCCTCTTGAAAGTCAAGTTTCATGGCCAATAAGATCAGAGAATATTTTTTTTCTGTTTTACCCAACCAGATATTATGCCTTACTTCTACAAATAAACTCTATTTGTTTAAGGTGTTTATTCAAATAGAAACTCACCCCATGAAACTTGACAGACATGCTCTTATTTAGCCAACATTTAGGTTCCTGTACTAGACAAAACGTGCCAAATAACTGCACCAGCTTTTCAAGGATCACCTCAACCTAGAAATTAATCCTAATGTACTTAATATAAATGTATTATATTGTATATAGTTTTACTTTTCAGAGCATAATTGGCAAATTGTAATCTATTTGTACAGTGTTAGGTGACTGCCAAGTTATCATGTTGATGTATCTTTGATGTTCTTGTTATACCACACTTTCTGATTTGTTGTTTGCCCATGCAAGGTGACATAATAGGATATTCTTCAAAGAAACAAGGCAGCTTATGACATGAAACTTTATTTGTTGCAGAACTATTCCTAAGACTTTGTATCCATGGTACAGTTTTTAACCCACTTACATGTTTATTTGTTGTCATTATTTTTTTTCACAAATAGGGATGTTCTTCTGCAACAAAGGTAAGCTTCTGTAATAAGTTTCTTTTAAGATAACTTATTATCCTAGATTTTAAACTCAGCCATGATGCACTGCGTGTAAAGCATTCACCGGGTATCAGTTATCACAGACCTTTTTGTGTGCAATGTCACGTTTGCAATACCCAGCAGCAGCACCATGCCATTCTACATTTGTGTCTCTAATCAATTCAAAAACTGACAATGGATATTTTTAACAAGTGTATTTTATATCCCATTGCACATGAAATATAACATTGTCACTTTACTAGAGTAGCATTCTTTTTACCTTGTTCTGAGGAGAAGCATATAATTTTGTGAATTAATTAATAACCCTCATTATAAATATTACTTACATCTACCTGCAAGCCAACAGCTGTAGTCCACCCAATTCTCAATATAAGACAGCCAGTGATGTTAATACTGAAATAAATAAGTTGTTACTTCATACACAGTTTAGTTGTAAAGCTCATATCATTTACCATTATGTAGATTACAGTAGTTTAAATTATTATTCTGCAATCATAATTTCCCTTGTATCTTCATAATCTGGTAGATTGGAAGTATATTTGAATAAGAAAGGATGTTCTTACCAGTTCTTGCGTAGTGATTGAATAAGGTTGATTTACCATTTGTCATACTGGCAAAATAAACTTTATTGAACTACTACTTCAGCCTCCCAGTATTCTTGAAGACGTATGTATGTACAATATATGTGTGTATATATATATTAGAGATGGTGTGGAAAACTCCAGAACCTGGTAAAATTATGATTGTATTATAATGACGTAGAGAAGAGCACACCACCTTTACTGTAGGGGAGCAGGCAAGGTGGTGCACATGGCTGAGTAGTGTGTTGTATCAAGACACTCGCCAGTCTTGCTCAGTGCTAGACCTCGTACCATAGGATTCAACATTGTAAATAAGGAGATTCATCTCAGGTCTCAGGTCACCATCACTCATCATTGAGTCATCTCTCATAATTTCATGTTAGGAGCAAGTAGAATCTTCAGGAATTTCACTTTTGAGGAATATGAGATATGAATTTGACATTGATGTTGAACATAATACTGATTTGTCTTCACAATGCATATGCCATTATTAAACCATGAAAAATATTTCAATGTTAACTATTTTTCCTTTTCCTGCCTTTGATACTGTTAAATAATGACTATACAGTGCATCATTACAGGGATATTATGTTATGTAATTACCATTTCAGATCATATTTGAGCTATTACTAAGTTAAGCAATAGTTTTTCATTGAAAATTATATTATACATTACTGGCACACAAGGAGATAAAGAAGGGACTTTATAGATTGTGAACAAAAACGATGATTGAGTAGTGGGAATTTCATAAATAATTTCAAAGTAATCTTGGCTAACTTTGATTAAAGAAAAAAAGGAGAAAATTTGATCCATTTCCAATAAATAATCCTAAACAATTTTCATACTTGTAGCAATGAATTTCCTGTGCTTCGGTAATTATATCTTTCCATGAGGCTCACAATTTTTTTCTTTATAAGGGATGAACATGATATGCTGAAGAAAAAAAAGTTTTCTTTACAACAATGAAATCCTTTTGCAGAGAGGAACACAAGACCCACACATAAAACAGAAGACTTTGGGGCATGTAAAGAATCTTATTGTCACTGTAGTGTATCACGGTGCTGTAACCTCTCTGTAATTTGTGCTTTTAAGACTACTTATTATTCAAAATTAGGGCTAGAATTCATGCTTACATTTGGAGAAGTTTTGTTCACACATTGTATATGAGTTCCTGGTACTCAAAAGAATGTAATGGATGGATCCTAGCCCAATGATAAAATTTTGCAATTTCGTATAAGAACAAAAAGAAAAAAAAACATGGTTTATATAGTATGTAAGGTACCTACCACGGACCACATTTTGTACAACTTCTCGGCAATAATGCCTAATGTCTGCTACTGTGCACCTTTTAGATACCACACCTAACAATCAAATGGTAGTTACAGTAGAACATAAAAACATAATATCAGTGGTAATGTCCTCTTAGAATATCTTATAAATTTCTTGTTATCCGATCATTTCCTCATAATGATTTCCAGTGTTCATATTTTAGGTCACTATGTTACCTGTGCAGTAAAACAAGACACTAATATTACAAAACAAGACTTTTCAGCTCTTAGGAAATGGGCCACATATGGACGTGCTCCAGAAAACTGTAAAACCTTACCTATGCATGTGATAGATAGCTACATATCGCCTAGTATATCTGTAGACGGGCTGAAACAGTGTTGGTGTAAGCTGGGTTACTCATTGCTAGTGTTGCAGTGAAAATAAGACAGTGCTGTAAACTGCGGATTTAAGAAGGGCAGAAATATGACGGATTCTGGAAACGGGAAACTGAAAATACATTGCATGAACAATACCAATGCAGTAAGGAGTTTGCAAGAAAACTGATAACGAAAAGTTACACAGGGCTGTCTTCGCCTCGAGTGACCCTTTGCTTTTTAGCACAATCATATTTCTGTGATAACCCGTAGGAACCACTCATGTGTGGCTTCTTCTGTCCCTCACTCACCCTGTTGTAGTTATGTGGTGAGACTCCCACATGTCGGTATTCTTCCGTGTTATTTCTTTCCTTGTCAATGTCCTCTGTGTTGAAACTCTCCAGTGAATCTCTCAGCTGTTCCTCCATCCTTTGAAAAAAGAAAAAAAAAAAAAAAATCTGATTCTTCCATCATCACTTCTGCCTCCTGCAAAACTCTGATAGACTTGATTACTCTCCAACTGGGATTTTCCAAACATGGAAACTCATACATCTGTGTATTATTTCTCAACCACGGTCTATACCAATGATACTGGTAATCATGCATTTTTGTTTCATGTTAATGGTAACATTGCATTTGTGATTGCCTTATATTTTCAACTTATCTTGGTTCTCTTCTCTTTTCAATAATAGTCATATTATATATTTGTTATGTACATAATTTTTTCAAAAGTTATATATTCATAAGCTCACCTTGCCAATATCATTTACAGCTGATATATTGATTTGTATGAAGAAAAAATAAAATAAAAATAAGATTAACTCATCCAAATATTCCAATACTACTACTTCTTCACAAGGTAAATAGCCACTCTGCCTTACACATCTCACATATATATACACAAAACACTTTTGCTGTTCTCTTCACCTCCCCACATGCCCAAATATTGCTGTTCACCTCACCATGCCTCCTCCCTGCCTTTTGACTGGTGACAATGAGAATGTCACTTCTATAACCTTCCATATAGTGCTCTCATATGTTTAGGTAGCAAACTACAACTGTTTGTAAAAGTAATATTGTTATAATGAAATGAATCACAATAAAAGTTATGATGTGTTCATTATATGACCTATCCATCTCATAATATATGGGCTTCCAT